TAGGAATTCGTGCGAACGAATTAGGAATTCGTGCGAACGAAATAGCAATTCGTGCGAACGAATTAGGAATTCGTGCGAACGAAATAGCAATTCGTGCGAACGAATTAGGAATTCGTGGGAACAAAATAGGAATTTGTGCGAACGAATTAGCAATTTGTGCGAACGAATTAGCAATTCGTGCGAACGAATTAGTAATTCGTGCGAACGAATTAGGAAATTCCAAAAAATAATTCCACCCTGTCCCTTCCCAGGCTTCATAAATGAGACATCAAACAAACAAAAAATCAACTAAATTTTAGTTATTAAATCATTTCTTTAAACTCTCAAATTGTTTACAGGGCTCCAAAAATTGAATTATATTTGAGCAGTCGACAGGTGCTGTGTCCACTGTACAGTTTCATTGTCATAATTGTCTTGGTCTGTTGGTCATTAGGGCCTAACCCTGTGGTTATTGTGATTTTTTTCCACATATTTCGATCATTACTTAATGATTTTGTTTAAAAAGTCTGAAACCTTGTAAGATGTACATGTAGCTTGATAAGTATAGATGATGTTCCTTGCCCTTTCATATGGCCCTTTCGTAGGATGTACATGCTACCGGTACGCAGTCTGGTTCCCAGAGTGCACTAAAGCTTTGTTGGGACGGGGGCCGTCCAAAAGTCTGATAGTCTGAAGGTCCGATAGTCCGAAGGTTGTTTAGTCCGAAGATTCGATAATCCAAATGCACAGAATTCAAGAGGGGATTCGTCAAAAAATGAAATGAGGTTCGTTAATCTGAACATTTGATGCAATAGTCCAAAGGTTCATTAATCCGAAGGTTCATTAGTCCTAAGCTTCATTTATCCAAAGGTTCGGTAGTCGGAATTTAGAATAAGGTTAATCAGTCCGAAGGTTCAGTAGTCAGAAACGAAAATAAGGTTTAAGAGTCCGAAGCTCAGGGGAGACAGTCAGTCTCTCAATCAGTCAGTCAAAAAGTCAGAGGACTTACACTCTCCCACTATGCAGCATTGAAATGCACAACATACAAATGTACATGTACATTGTGCTACATGTGTAGTCAGTCTTAAACAGTGAACTTTGTTCCCAACTTAATATCCCAGTGAAGAGAGCAAATTTTGTGTTTTAATTTTGCAAATAAATTACTTATACCCCAAAACCCGAGATTGGCTTCCTCCCATTAGAAACAAAAATGCTTTGAGGAGTAATAACATGGTGGAACAAAATCATTGGAAACATAAGGTTGCCAACGTTCGACTTTTATGCTTTTCCCATAAGGGTTTTTATGAGTGGGGTTGAGTGTCGGGCCGTCAATAAAAGCCGCCTCCATCAGTATCAGCGGTCAGTCCCTAACCAGTTTTGAAAATAAACATCACGTTTATACCGGTAACTGCTCTGGCCATCACAATACCCCCTTAATGAAATCTCTCCGTGACAAGACCAAAATGCAGTCAGCGATAATGAATTTGTTTTGGAAATGACGGTGCAACCGGAAGCTTAAAAAAGAATACTCCACTAATCTGGCTACATGTACAGAGGAAGGTCGCTGACATCATATGAGCCTTAATACCTGTTGGATATTATCCCCAGTTTCTGATTGCTAACTGGTCATGCGTACAGCCTGTTTGCTGGGAAGACTGCCTCTTCACATACACCGAGAGAGCAAGGTCGATAGACTGTGAAAGACAATGACCCAAATTACCATGCCTTAATCACTGTACTGGGTGAGTAAAAAAGATGTCCCTTTGGATAAGTTTTTGTCTCGCACAAAAACGGAAAGGTTACCAGTTTTTTTCTCTTCAGCCAACATATTAGGGGAGTCAGGTTGGCATAGCGGTACATGTACTTTCCTCGCCTTCCACTGCTGTGACCCGGGTTCGAATCCCGCCTGGGCCAATACCGGTATGTGGATTGGGTTTTTAGTCCCTGCCTGATTCCATGGGTTTTTCCCAGAACATTCTTCTGGGCTTTTCCTCCCACCCCTAAAACTGCGAGCTACATGTACAGTGCCTAAGGCGCTTTTGAGGAATCCTTGGTTTCATTACCTGAAGTGATTAATAATAATAATTAAGTCTGGGTACTGACCACAGTCTGTAAAAGTTTCACTGATATTCAGCCATGCATGAAAAGGATACAGGCCTTTCTTTGTGACTACCCAAAAACACTACCAATACAATGTTCAGAATAGGCCTTTTGCTATCAACACAGTGGCAACAATGGGCCTCAGGACAGTGAAGGAAATAAAAGGAATAATAGAACAGAACATCAATTAAATGGAATTACATTTATTGAACTTGAAACCGAATTAAAAGGGTTCACATTGTCACTGTCTTGTTCAGGTTCTTGCTTGTCTCATTTTGTCCGTACTGGTATTTTACTACGTTTCTGTGCACTGTCTGAGCGTTAGGTTGCCGTACCTTCGGACATGTCGGAAGGTCTTCTCCAAATCGGGTCTTGTACAGTAACCCTTCCTGTTTCATAAAACATTCTATCAAGGCCCTTTGGACAGCAGTAAACTTTGGCCTTACCATGGCTACTTTGAAATGTTATTTTATTTATTTATTTATTTATGTTCTGTCTTGTAGTGTGCTTGCCATTCAATAACATTAAATATCCCCTTAAAGATATTAGGAAACATTGTGTTAATAGTGTTTTGGGGTAGTTACAAAGAAAGGCCAGTGTTCTTTTCATGCATGCCTGAATATCAGTGAAACTTTTACAGACGGCCCAGACCGAATGTTAATAAAGAGAAACATTTGGTAACCTTTCCTGTTTTTGTGGGAGACAAGAACGTATCATCCAAAGCGACATTATTTTTATTCTACCTGTATGTATACACAAGGGCTCATCATCGGCAGTGGTGGCGCTACAGGGGGGGGGGGGGGGGGGGGGGGGGCCTCCCCCCCTTTTTCCAAGTTCTGTCCTTGCCCTCCCAGTTTGCCCCCCCCCCCCCAGTTTTCCCCGAACACTTCATCTACTAATCTAAGTAGATTAGTTATGTTTATTTTTTCGCTGTATTAGCTTCATAAAATTTGGGCCAATGAAAGCATTAAAACATTGGTACTTAAGACAAAACATGCCACACATGCACTTATCCAGCCGTACATGTAGGTAGTGTGTAGCCAACGTCTTTGTACATTTGTTGTACATTATGTAAATACATTTTGTTATACACCATTCTGCGGTTTGATACATTTCTCATTCATAAAAACGACTACATGTACACCTCTAAGTTGCTCCACTGGCTTATTTCCGGACTATTCACAATGGTACGCGCGCGTACACAGGCTTGAGATATTTTTTGACTGCCCCCCAAATTATTTCCTTGCCCCCAAATTGCCCCCCCCCCCCCCGAAAAAAATGTTCGAGTCTGGCGCTGCCAGTGATCATCGGATCCAATTTGTGAACCATGTTTTCTTTCATGACTTATGAGTGCGTCTTTGTAATGCCTCTCCGCCTCCACACCGCCTCCAATGGACATGTATCGTATTATCATTACCAGAGACCTTGACAGAGCCTTGGTTGCCTTTCTCTTTGTCAGCACTGATCTCACACATGACATCACCCCTGATTGAATTGTCAAATATTGCTGCCAAGGTCCCAGCAATTAAATCCTAGGCGGGGAGAGTGACTCATTGCCTTTCTAATGGCGATGTTTGAGGAAGTATTAGTCGCAAAGGAGAAATAATTAATTATATTTGTATTTGAAAGCCGGAGATGGTTTATGATGACAAGAATCAGAGGGTTTGAGATCACTCAATCTGAACCCTAAAATGTGTGCATGTGTACATTCACAATCAAGGCCAGTAAACAATTTCAGGTTTTAACCATTGTTCTTAAATACCGGTACCTAAGACAGTTTACCCATTCCTATTGGTCGAGAGCTCGTCACGTGGCCGGTCTTAAACATATGATAAAGACCAGCTGGCTGGTCTTAAACACTTTTCCAGTGTTACATAACATTTGGACTCCGATGAAATCTGGTGCCTTTTACCGTTTTATTGGTCATGTTGGTTAAACATTCATTTGAACATTTATGAATGGGAATAAATGTGTGCTTGGCCAGTATTAAACACTATGTTTAAGACCAATTGGAGTCTGGATGCTGATAGCCTCGCCTTTGGCTAAGGTAATTATTAGCATTCAGACTCCAACCAGTCTTAAATATAGTGTTTAAAACTGGCCAATCACACATTCCCTTATTAAAGCTAATGATACACCCACCACATGATGATGTACGTACAGTACCAGGAAAAACACGATGCACAATCACAATATATTCCCAGTAGATTGTTGTCGTGATTTTTGGAATGCCTCGTCATCTTTTCCATAATTCTTGGCAATCACTGAAGTCAACTTTGCCACCTTTCAATGAAAATTTTAGGGAGTCATACCGGTAGCTGCGGAATATCGAGATATTTGGCTGTTTTGGCACCTTTGCCGAAACATCCTTTGTTTTTGTTACATTTTTTTTCTTTTCTTTTTCAGACTTTTCTCATATACATGTAGCACTTCACTTGTATGTATACGCTTTCATCGTGCATGGCACTACATGTATAACATCAATCTGATTGCCGTTATACATACTTGGCACACACTAAGACCATCACCTGCAGATGTGTGCCGAGCATTGACGTCATAATAATGTCATCACGAGTCACGTGACGTCACACCATGCCTACACCATGTACAGTATATCTATAGAACTATAGGTCCGATTGGGTTGGAACTTGGTTTGTACCTAGACTGGGATGAAAATTGAAGTGTGACGTCATGATGACAGTATCACCTGTCATGTGACGTCACATCAAAGGGGCATTTTTAGAAGGCCTACATTCAACAGAACATGTCCGGTTTGGTTGTAACTTGCAATTGGTATTTACCTACACAGGGATGTGTTATACATGTAGATCACGGTCCGTTTTCTAACTCCTTTACCATTTATGACAGCATAATTTTAAGAAGCCAAGTTTGTTTGTTTTTTTTTGTTTTTTTATCTTTAGGTATGATGAAGAAGTTGTGATACCCATTGTTGAGAACACTCCATTCGAGGCTGACCTCAAAGTGAGTTTAAATACATGTAGGCCTACATACCCCCAAAAATGCAACCCTACATTGTTTAAATCATTTGCCTTTTTTTTGAAAACGTGATCGGTGAATTTTTTATGTTTTGGATATCAGATTAAAGCTGAGAGCTTTTTCTTTCAAGTACTAAAAAATCTTGAAAACAGTACATTGGGTTGCTGAGAAAATGCCAATTATGTTACACAACTGAACTCCTTTTTTCTCCATTCCAATGGCATTACCACAGTTAAAGGATCTACACTGTACCCATTCTGGGCATGAAATGCATGTGGCGCATTGTGTCCTAATCCTTACAAACAACACGGCACATAATATGACAAGAGTACAAATTTGATGGATACACCTTTTATTTTCCACCAGAACAGGTATCTCATCCTTTTGTGTTCTATTTTAAACCTTTTCTGCATCATAAATATGTCAAAATATAAAAGAAATTGCACAAATGAAAGACAATTGCACAGTGGGCTTAAAGTAACATGTTTCACTGTTTGAAGCACTTTTGAAAGGATGAAAAATCACTTCTTTCACATAATTGGCATTTCCCACCAACCCAAATGTGCTGTTTTCATGATTTTTTTCAGTATTTGAAAGAAAAAAAAGCTCTCAGCTTCAATCTGATATATCCAAAACGTACAAATTCGCAGATCACGTTTTTGAATAAAGGCAAACGTTTCAGGGTTGCATTTTTTGGGTCACCCTAAACTAAGTTTGAGAGATTTGCAAAATCCTGCCTACGTTTGTATCATTTCTTTCTCTCACCACTAATAGATCACTCCTGAAAAGTTCTGACAAAAGATCCTTACTTAACTTTAGTCAAATTATAAGCAGCAAAATTTAGCAAAACCTAAGTGAATTTCTTCAGTGTACATGTACACGTTGTGTATTAATTTTTACATTGCAAATTGCATTATTCTGAAAGTGTTTCAAAGTAGAATAAATTGTTATAGACTTCAATATTTGGGCTACCGTAAAAGTCCTTGTCAGAAATGGTTTTACTGCTAGAAGGACCTTTTGGATCTGATCAAGCATCACAACTTGGTGTCATGTTTGCACACTTGATCATGGGCACTGCAAGAGGGGCCTGATTGACACCCCCCCCCCCCCCACTAATTGTTTTGACTGTAAAATTGTCTTTCTGTCGGCAAAATCATGTCTGTCAGGCAATATGCGGCAACGAATAGCGCCACCTGTTGTCTTATAGTGTTCAAAAACTCCAATTAAAGGTAGAGTAGATCATTTGCAGCTATCCAAACAGTAACTGGCCAAATTATTGTTGAAAAGCTTAATTGGTTTGAAGATAGTAGTGGCAATAAACTCCCGGTGAAATTATTCTTTCTGGCATGCTGTCATTTTGAAGAAAACAATAAAAGAAGGTCTTTTCCTAAGATGCCTCAAGTGATGCATTTTTGAAAATTTCCATTAGATTGGTTTGTAATGGGTGCGCGCAGGCGTTGACAAGACACACATGCGCGTGTATAGTTGCTATTATTCGTCGGTTTAGTGCGTGACATGGGTAGCTGTAATCAGCTGAATGAGAACGTGTCCCTGATGCTGATTTCGGGGGCAATTCAAAACAGGACTCGGCAACTTCTGAATTGAAATTGAGATCCTAGAATATTGTTTTCTCAGAATATACAGCATCCACTAAGCTAAAACTTCATCAGGTTAGATTTTGAGCACTTTTGTTGCTTCAAATGAAAAAAAATGCACAAATGCCAAATTATCTACATTGTACCCTACCTTTAACCAGGGGAAAACATTCATATACCCAGTAGTTCCCTTCAAGCACGGAACGTCTGTGGAAAAATTTGTTGTTACACTTCCCCTTCTAATCGGTCTGACGATGATAGTTTTCGAGCTTTAACTGTCATTTTCAATGAAACTCAAATTGTAAAACTGCCAATTTCAAAGTTTGATAATTTGATAGGGCAGTGACTGCATAGTCTATGCTCAGGTAAATCCAGACCCTAATTTCATGGCTCAGTGCTGGCACTAGACCTATTTCATGGATGTGCTATATCTTGAGCAGAACATGCCAGCAGTAGCAGAAAACTCCAGGCTACAGTTAACAAATTTCACGGGTTAACAAGGAATTTTCCGGCTAATGTGCATGCATAACTCAGGATTTGGTGCTTACAGGGTTAGCACAGAATGTTTTTTTTTGCTAGGGCCGTTAGCACAGAATGGTGATTGTAAGCGCGGAATTCTTGGGTAAGCAGTTGACCCATAAAATTGGGCCCTGGACTGAGAGAACTGAAATTACATGTAAATACAGCGTACCTGTACGTGTACTTTACGGACTACATTGAACCTAAAAACATTTTGGTGCCAGGGCATCAACCCAAGACTTGACGTCTTATACTTGTTTAAAGCACAGATTTTTAAACAAGATGTTTTCTGGTATGGGCCTTGAAATTGAGCCAACGATGTGTACACTTGTATCTGAAGTCAAACTGAGTGGCAATATATAACATTGGGTATACATAGGATGAGCTACATGTATGTAAACAATGTATACATGTGCACGTACAGATCTGTCATGTCTGTATACAGTTATGACAGGCTCACCGTTGATCGTTAGAGGTGCCAAATGTTTGGACATTTCTCCTTCATCAGGGCTGAGAGGCAACTGCGGCATCGTGCTGGAACACGGTGAATTCACGACCCGGCAGTTGCCTCCCGGCCAATGAAGGACAAGAACAGATGTCCGAAAATTTAGCACCTCTAACGATTAACATAAGCTCTGTTTTCTGTATGTATTGGGAACACACATACTCAAATTTGTATCCTTGTGGAGACAGGCCTTTTTTTCTCGTGTACGAAATCTCGAGAGGGTCGAAAGCTTTTTTCAAGCTTACGAAACTACTGACCGGAAAAACGAACAATTTCAAATGTCCCGCACTGCGAATTTGTCGACCATTTCTCACAAAGCACTGGGAAAAATGAACTCTCTGTGGCAAACTCTTAGTGGCGCACTGCATTGTGAATCGCCCGAATTATGTAACATGTACTGGTATACATGTACATGTATGTACATGTACACACACTTTCAAATTTTGAAAGATTGCAAATTCATCCTATTCTAGTGAACATCCAACTGAAAAAAGGGACGATAATTTAGAGTGAAGCTCCTTCCGTTAAATCATATCAAGTTTTTAACTTGAATGATTTTCGTTTTCAAAGTACAAATATTTCAATCGACATTTTGGGTGATTTTGACTCTAAATTGTTTGGTCCGCAGTTTAGTGGGGCAGATAGGGGAAATACATTGTATTTTGGGGGAATTGTGCCTTTGATGATACAAGCATGGAGTTTGGCACACAGTCAGAGTATGTCATGAGAAAGATATTCAGCTACATGTATATAGGGCAAATGTAGGGCCATCACAGATTTGTCCTTTGAAAAAATACAGGTAGAATAACAAGCAATTTTCAAAATTTTCAGAATGGCTGCCACTGTTTTTCGAAGGACATGTATCATTAAAGGCACAATCCCATCACCTGTCTGCCATAGTTTCACTCTTTTTGAAATTAGAGAGTACAGTCAAAAGCTGTTTGTGCTGGTCCCAGAGGGCTAACCTCGTGGCCTCATTGTACCCATCTCACAGACTGAATGCAAGCCACAAGTTCACCAACTCACTGTACATTGTACCGGTATGACGCGCACGGCTGTTTAACATGCAGTGTGGCATTACAGAGCACGTGTTGTAACCGGTGTCCGCCCGATAGTCCGAAGGCTCGATAGTCCAAGGTTCTTTAGTCCGAAGGTTCGATAGTCCTAATGCACAAAATTCCCATAAGAGCGGGTTCGTCCAAAAATGAAATAATTAAGGTTCGTTAATCCGAACATTTGAAGCAATAGTCCTAAGGTTTATTATAGTCCGAAGGTTCATTAGTCCGAAGGTTCGGTAGTCCGAATTTAGAATAAGGTTAATTAGTCCAAAGGTTCATTAGTCCAAAGATTCGGTAGTCTGAATTTAGAATAAGGTTAATTAGTCCGAAGGTTCAATAGTCTGAAACGAAAATAAGGTTCACAAGTCCGAAGGTTCATTATTCCGAATTGAAAATAAGGTCCGATAGTCCGAATCGATAATTAGGTCACAATAGTCCGAATCGATTCGGACTATCGAACCTTATTGTCGATTCAGACTATCAAACCCTATTGTCGATTCGGACTGTCGAACCTTTGGACTATTTAACCTTCTTCTGTTTTAGGACTAATGGGCCCTTCGGACTATCAAACCTTCAGACTATCGAACCTTCGGACTATTGAACCTTCGGACTAACAAACCTTTGGACTAATGACCCTTCGGACTAAAGAACTTTCGGACTATCGAAACTTCGGACTATCGGACTGTAACTGTTGTAACCTGTATGCAAAGTGGGCAGAGCCAAAAGGACCAGTCTATTGAATAGAATCTGCATGCACTCTGGGACCAGCTTTACTAGAGTTCTCTGACCAACCTTCCTGGGCTTGCCTTGTCTCGATTGGTTGTTTCTGTTCTGAAGGATCCTATGGCTGCAGCAATGGAGGAATACCCGGATACTTGTGCAGTGCTGGTTCGTCGCCATGGCATCTACGTGTGGGGAGAAACCTGGCAAAAAGCCAAGGCAATGTAAGTAACATCATTAATAATAAACATATATATACATACATTCGTATATTGACGAAGGAACAATATACATGTATGGGTAACTACATACATACCAAGAAATAGACCTAAATGTACCAATTTAATGAGAAAAACCTGATCGAAGTGAAAAAAGAACTGGTACTAAATACCCTGTAAACATATTCGCCAGACGGATTGGAAGAAAACAGTAATTGTACATGTAGTTAGTTAAAATAAAGTGTGCCCATTGGCACATTTTTTTTAACCGTCCACTGGGATCTTGACGTCATGAAATTTCCTGAAAGTTAATAATGTCCCAAATTCTGATTCAGAGAATAGATTGTGCACAATAGGGTGCAATACGTATACAAAAATCTGGGCAGAAACCTGAGCAATGGAATCCACTTAAGGAAACCCCAAATTGTGCTTACAATGTACGCTTTTTCTGTTTTCTCAAAATGTATTGCATGTATACATGTACATGTAGTATCAACCATGTCAATTGAGTTAAATTTGGTTATGATCCCTTATTAAGATCTTAAACATATGGAGTTGCTTCGAATGAAAAAAATGCACAAAAAGTAAATGATCCTACAGGGATATGTACACATGGGTTATTCTATAAATTAGGGGTACAAAGTGGGACATTGCATTAAAAGGGCTCAAAACTTTAAGTTATTTTAATTATGGTCAATCTTGCTTTTCATAATATGACATGTATTTACTTCCATCAGGATGGTAAAGTGCAAGCCTTTTCAGCAGAAAGGAGATCCTTTTAAAACAACTTCATGTCATCTGGAATATTAAAAACACTAGGTTTTACATGTACAATGTACATGTAACTGGGACACCACAGGACACCATGTTACGTGTGAAATTATTTCATTATTACAAATGATCATATATATTTTTTGTTTCTTAGCATTGCTGTCTTGTTGTTTTCTTATCCTTTTATTTACATGTACTGGACATAATTTGTAAAATAGCAAGGAAAAGTAAACAATTTGACCATGAAAGACACTTTACACACAGCAGAATTGGTTCACACGTACATTTGTAACAGGGACACAGGGACACCAAATGTTACATGTGAAACCATAATATTGGGAGCACCATTTCACATCTTCACACATTTATTTCTTTAAAAATTGTATCTCATGTTGAAATTGAGTCCGTACATCAATCATTTTGACCTAAAAATGGCATAGTATACATGTACCCTTTAAGGTGGCGAAAATGTAAATTTTTTGAGACTGTAATTTTTGTCCCACTTTTAGCCAAAAACATGAGAATTTTCGGCCTATTTTTAACCAAAACAGGAAGTAAATGGGATCAACACAACAAATTTGTAGGTTTTATCAATGCAACTTTTATTGGAGTTTGTTACACATGAAGTACTACATGTATTAACTTTAATACATTTCCTATTTAGTTATAAAACAAAAAAGACACATTTTCCTATTGGACCCCTAATTTATAGAATGACCCATGTCATGCAAAATACATGTACACTGTACCTTAAATGATCCTAAATAGGATTTTTCTGAGGCACACATTTTGTGCATTTTTCTACTCCTTTTGTTAATGCATGAAAATTATTTGACATTCCTCTTTGGTTAACTTCAATGAAAAGTGCACTTCTTTAATTATTTAAAAATGTTCAATGTTTTTCCGGGCAACTGAGGGCGCTGTTCATTCATTCATTCATTCATTCAATGGTTTATTAAATCAATCATGAATCGCAGCTAACGGCTGAATTGAACATGATTAACAGTATTTGGAAGAAAAAAAGTAATTCCATTAAAAAAAACATTATGAACATTAAAATATTAAAACATAGCAGATAGTTATTCCATAAAAAACCATTATTAACATTAAAATATTAAGAAATACCAGATGAAACTGACAAAAAAATATCCCGAATACACGACAAATTTACACTAGAAAACTGCTCAGAACATAGAACGTATGATAGTGGCTCCCATGCAACCCCCCCCCCCAAAAAAAAAAAAATCCAAGATTTTCAGAATCTCCAGGACATCAGACTCAAGAACCCCGATGCAAAAAGGATTAAAAAGCATGTACATGTATGCTGTGCTGTGATGTCATAATCCGGAAGACACTGTTCAGGGGTTTTCTATTCAAATTGTGAACCCAAAAGTTTGCTCATTGAAAACATTTATGAGAAAAGTTTGCTCATTGGCATACTGCCACGTACTGACACAACAACATATCACCAAAGAAGAGACAATTTAGGACAACAAATACAGAATTCTGCCAACTTTTCGTGCTGAAATAGCTGTTACATTGAGGTTTCTGCCTGAAATGACGGTTTTGCTCATGAATATGGAAATTTGCATTGGCATAAAAAAGGCACCAAAATTTCCTTGTAAATGGCAAAACGAAAATTGAAAATAAGGTTAAATGGGACACACAGGTGCATTTTCAAGGATTGCATTAAAAAATGACATTGCAAGATGTTGCCAGTTCAACAATAAGTACCATTTGAGGCTTTGCATGGTGGAGATACTAAATAATGAAAGGTTTGCGGAAACACCATGTGTGAATAATTTCTCAACAAGGAGAATGGTTCACTCTCCTGGAGACGGTCACAGCATACTGACCGGAACGTCGAGTTTATACCTGTGGTTCTTTTCAGAACCATTCTCCTAGTTGAGAAATTATTCGCACATGGTGTTTCCGCAAACCTTTCATTACTTCACAACAATAGGCAGAATTTTAGCCAACTGAAGGCTGCCCATACAAAGTAGTGTTACTCTTAATTCTTTTTTTTATTCTAACTTATTAAATAAGGAAAAGTGTGCATTGGTCCCATATCCAGGATATCCTGGGCACTAGGATCGCACATCCAGGTTTATTCCTGGCTCTGTATATACTCAAAATAAATCTGATCTGGAAGTCAACCTTTTCCAAGTGTTGTGAAAACGATAAAAGTAGAAACAATTGAACCAAGGTGAACGCTTACCCAACAATCCTTATTTAAGTCTTTTACTTATGCAAGGGGTTCGGGATATTACATTCTAACAAGGTCCCCTGTGGCAGTAGAGAAACGGACCCTCGGATCCTTGTTTCCGAAGACAGCAACCGTGGGTGGCTCATTAAAGGCAAGTACGCTGATCTTAGGGGAACCCCCATGACCAAACGATGCCGGATTAAATGTAATTGAGTCCCATAGGGTTAGGGTATGCCTTTAGCCGTACCTTAAAGGTTAGGCTCCTGTACGAGCCGTGGTGATGAGACAATCAATGGAAATATCACGGTGGTCTCTAAAACACAGAGGACTAGTTGTGGAGGGTTTTCCCATTGAAATTACAGAATTGTATACATGGAACAGTGTCCCTGAGATTGGATTGGTTCTTTCATCTGTTAATGACCTGTGCAGAAGTAAATTGCCGGTGAAATGTTGCATCACTGTTAGATTTATGAAAACAAGCGCAAGTGGAAAATACGTGTAAGATCCGGTCCGGATTGGGAATGTCTCACTTCATAGACGCGCATGCGCATCAATCGAAACAAAGCTGGTCTTCCGAAAACTTTTGGCAAGAGTGCATTTATATGACCACAGCATGGCATTTGGTCAATTTTTGGTCAAATAGTTTTGGTCAATTTTTGGGGACAGACAGACAGACCGACCTACCTCTTGACGTGTAGAAGCTCCTGCCAGAGCTTAAAAAGTACATGTACCTTGTACATACTTGTAGGGGCCTTGCCCTTTACATTTACAGAACTAGAAGGAATATGACGGCACCACATGAATTCGTATGTCAGTGTCATTTGTTTTAAAGGGCCCATGTAATACAATGTACAACTGTTTTTATTAAATTCTTGATCTTTGTGTCCCATTTAACTTTATATTTCAATCTTCACATTGCCATTTTCAACAGTGTTTTGATGTCGTTTTGGTTTATACAAATGTACATGTATGCTAATGCAAATTTCCATGTACAATGTATGTCACTCAAGGCAGTACAACACTGATAAGTGTGTGCTTACATTAAAACGGCATCACTGCAACAGCGCCCTCAGTGGTCAGGAAAAGAATGGAACACTTAACTGAGTATTAGAAAAAGTGCACTTGACAACAACAAAACTAAACAGGGATACATTTGCATACATTTCAGAGGAATGGAAATTTGTGCAAAATATGTTCCAGTGTAAAATTCATGTCATGGCCCCTTTATATATACGGTACCTTATGCACTGTGCGCCTTAATCTTGTTTTGACAATTTCCCAGGTACTTATTAGTGTCTACTCAGTTCCACAACATTTGCCCTAGAGAAATGCATGCACGGGCCTTTTCAGACATTTATTAGTTCATGTGTTATCAATTTGATGGGCAGTGGTAATACATTTATCACTTTGCCTGAAACTAAATGACAGGCTGTGTACTATACATGTACAATGTATGTATGAGAACGATATGGAAAGGTTTTGCTAGATGTCACATACACTCTGCACGCTTATAATCTGTATTATGTATCTAATTCTTTGTAGCATTGTACATTTCCACATTCGCAATCTGTCTGTCCGCTGCCCTGTCTTGCTCTTTGTTTTGTTCTGTTTATGTATGTATCCACTTGTCTTCTTGTGTTCATACTATTAACAAAAGAGGAATAAGAGATTTCTTCTCAGTGCACATACACATTATGTTTGTAGTTCATAGACGACGGGCAGAGTACATCGTTGCATCAGTGCAACAAGGTCGTAACTCGATTCTGCAACAAAGTTATATCTCATGCGAATACGCTCCATGCAACAAGGTCGTATCTCGCGTATCACGACATCCATTGATTTAGTGTGTACATCCGGGTTATTTTAAGTGAGATACAACCTTTTGACATTGAAAACTCGCAATTCACGTACATGACGTCACACGTCATTTTAGGAGATACGACCTTGTTCCACGGACACGACGACATGTACAGGTATGTTGTCTGAAACGTTGTGTCAAAACTGGTTCTTCTCTAAACCACCACAAAGAGACTGTTTTCACACGTCGTTTCTACAAACCTACCTTGCTGTTATCCCCACCATGCAAAATTTCCATTCTTATAGTTCAGTGAACTTTGACATGACAAATTGCCAACTCTGATGTAAAACTATATAACAATGTACCCATACTATATTGTACATGTACCCGACTGACTCACTGACCCCCTCCCCGACTGTCACTTGACTCACTGACTCACTCCTCCACTGTCGCTTGGCTCACTGACTCACTGACTGTCACTTGAACTGTCATTTGACTCACTGACTCACTCACTCCCCGTCACTTGACTCACAAGACTCACTCACTGACTCACTTTCTGTCACTTGACTCACTTGACTCATTCACTGACTGTCACTTGACTTTTTCACTGACTGTCACTTGACTCACTGACTCACTCCCTGACTTTCACTTGACTCACTGACTCACTCACTGACTCACTCCCCGACTGTCACTTGACTCACTCACTGTCACTTGACTATTTCACTGACTGTCACTTGACTCACTGACGACTCACTCTCTGACTGTCACTTGACTCACTGACTCACTTACTCCCCGTCACATGACTCACTTACTGACTGTCACTTGACTCACTGACTCACTCCCCGACCATCACTTGACTCACTGACTCCCCCACTGACTGTCACTTGACTCACTGACTCATTGACTGTCACTTGGTGATGCCAACGAATGGACTAAATTTGGGCCACTGTGTAGACCATATACATATACATGTGTACATGCAAAGAATTCCATTGAATAGCCAATCTAAATCGACTGAATAATGTGCAGTTGTGTGCTCTGGGACAAGCTTTACTACATTTCTAGTCTTGCCTTTGTGCTTATGCTTAATCCCAAATTTGCAGTCAATTCGTCACCGACACCACGAACTGACACCCTCTGCATCACATGTGTACAAAAAATTTTAAAAATTCAAATTTTCTTTTTTTGCACATATTAGCAGTTTGTATCATGAAGTTTAACATGACGAGGTTAAAATTGCTGAAATCATCTAAAATAAGCAAATTTTACTAATGAATTTTCAAGAAACTGGTCAATTCTGGTATTTTCGGTTACCACGAAGTGACCCTGCACAGGGTGTCAGTTCGTGAAAACCAAAATGTACGTGTTTTCGGAGAGTGCGCGCATGCAAAAGCGTTAGTGAGTGTCAGTTCGTGAAAACCAAAATTGACGCGTTTTGGGAGAGTGCGCGCACACACTGCGCATGCGTGCGCGCACTCTCCCAAAACGCGTCAATTTTGGTTTTCACGAACTGACACTCACTAACGCTATTGCATGCGCGCACTCTCCGAAAACACGTACATTTTGGTTTTCACGAACTGACACCCATCTTAATCATTTAATTGCTAATTAACTAAGCAGATTTTTACAATATAAAGTTTAAATTGAGTAGTGTAAGCATTTTCACGTTAAGTGATACTAAAACCTCTAAGATAGATGGAAGATTTTACTGAGTAAATTCGTGTCAAACCTTTAAAAGCCTTTTTTCTCCAATTTGTATTTCTGCAACGCTGACCACCGGGTGTCAGTTCGTGGTGTCGGTGACGAATTGTACCCCGTTAGTGTGGAAATGCTCATGTGTATGCTATGCACTCGTCATCTTCAAATTGTATCGATTTTAAATTTGCAAATAATATAGGAAAACAATTTTAAAACCTCTCAAACACGCTGCTGGTTGGCACAATTGCTACATGTAACAACTTCCTTTGCTTTATGTGCTCCATTTTTTGTTGTGCCTAACCACCATGCATGTTTAATTTCTCTCTTTATGGTTCTGGTATGTAGGTGCGAATGCTATGATTATCTCTTTGATGTTGCCGTCCAAATGAAGAAACTTGGCATGGATCCAACACAGAGGCCCATTGAGCACCAAAAATGGAATTCAGTGACTCCGCAAGAGACCTGTCACAAGGCATGAATGTTTGCTTCTTTTGCAGTGTGTTCCTGCATCAACCGTGACTCTCGATTCTCGTGCATTTGTCCACCATCTCTAACTGGCATTAACAAACATTTGCATTTATCTCTTGCCTCATGCAGTTATACTTTTGCTCGTCCTAACCCTAAATTAACCAGTAACATCCGAGATTTTTTTCTTTTTTTTATTGTAGAGTAAACCCATATACATCATAATGACAAACTCCCATTCTTTTGTAATGTGCGTTTATATGTTTGTAAAACTGAAATTCATCGAGTAATTTGTTGGTCGGCAAGCGCATAATTAAAATCAACAGTTGTCGGGTTCTTCGGAAAGAAGAATGGTGACGTAATACACGTCATGTAATACATAAAAAATCAGAAAAATCATGACGTAATAAACAGGACTCGTTTATACTACGCTGCACAGGGAGTCCTGTTTATTACGTCACAATTTACTATGTTTTGTTTGCTGCCCCCAACGATGACTTTTACACAAATTGCACGTTCGGGTCGAAACAGGACCTGAAAAACAGCTCTCAAAAGTACCTTTTGTATTCATTTCATGACAGAAACAATAGTCGTATTTCATCACACCTTAGGCTACATATACCCGAAAAATGACGGAAATGTCTTCGAGCATTCCACAACCTCTTTAACCTAACCAAAAAGGAACACACAGACACATAGAAGGAATACACTCTCAAGATACCCCTATCTTGGCTTAAAAGCCAGGGGGATAAAAACCAAAGAATAGCCTGAAGCTATGAATCAAGATTGCAATATTGAGTGATGACGATATTCAGGGAACATCTTGACATTTTGGATTCTTCCATGATGTAAAAAATTAACATCAGACAGTCAAAGCTTGGGGGATATCTCCCCTGGGATCTGCTCATGTTCATTCAATACCTCTGTGTATTTCCTTATATTTTAGAGTACATCATTGAAACCCTAACCCTCCAGGGCATTTTGGGTAGATGAAACCCTGCCAAAACGCAGCAACATGCAACATTTGTCTAAGTGACAAGCCTGCCCAGTGTAGCAAGATCCATCAGGCCAAAAGTCTCAAGGCCAAACTGCCTCAGAGTCTGTGGTCTCAGAGTCTGTTGCACCCGACTTTTCCACCGCATGCACTGTGTTGCGTCTGGCAGGGTTAGGATTAAAGTGTGAGAATAAAACATTATACTGCTTATCAATTTTAGAGGCTCAGTTACATTTGAACAATGTCGGTCAGAACTGCTGTGTTTTCATTTGAAATGTCCATTGAGTTAGAATACGTGGCTGGGTTGCAGGTGCATTTTGCTCTCGCATCCCATCACCGGCTTGCATTTGTTTGGTAGACGCGTGTTAAAGTAGATTGTGAATTGCATTACCATTTGCATCAAACTTTCGGAAGCACGTTTCGAATGACATTTCAACTCGAACTCCTGTTTCCTGTCTGCACCCCATTTCCAGAGCATATGCTTGTCATTTCCAGAATATTTCATTTCCATTATCCCCCTGTATCCCATTTGTAGAACCACCCCCTGCATTATATCGTGCTCATTTCCTAAATATTTCCTAAAATCCCATCCATTCGGAATTCTTCCCCTGCCCCATATTCAGTGTCATCCCGTTCCCAAAGAACTTCTAGCATAGGATTTTTCTAAACACTTCCTACCTCCCATTCTCATTAACCTTCCTGTATCCCATTCCCAAAATACTCGCTGCCTCTCATTCCAAAACACATCCAACCTCCCACTCCCAAAACACTTCCTGTTTCCCATTCCCAAACCACCTCCTCCTCTTTCCATTCCCTAATCACATCCTGCCTCCCATTCCCAAAACACTTCCTGCTTTACATTCCCAACACTTCATGCCTCCCATTCCCAAAACACTTCCTGCATCCCATTCCCAAAACACTTGCTGCATCCTATTCCCATACCACTTCCTCCTCCCATTCCCACTACACTTCCTGCCTCCCATTCCCAAAACACTTCCTGCTTTACATTCCCAAAAACACTTCCTGCCTCCCATTCCCAAAACACTTCCTGCATCCCATTCCCAAACCACTTCCTCCTCCCATTCCCACTACACTTCCTGCCTCCCATTCCCAAACCAGTTCCTGCATCCCATTCCCAAAACATTTCCTGCATCCCATTCCCAAAACACTTACTGCCGCCCATATCCAAGATTAGGTCAAACTTCCCATGTTCATACCTCTTCGTCCAATTTCCTGAATACCTAATGTTTTCCATTTCTAAGATAGCACTGTACTGTACATGTACCTCCTTTTCCCATGATACTGCCTGCATTCCCGTTCCCCTTTATGGATCCCATTTTTCTAACATTGTGTATACCTGGTGGTTACCTTTTGTAGAGCACATACTTGTAAGCCTCAGTTATCTATAAATTCAGAGTATTTCCTGGATCCTACAAACTCCATCTTGTGTCGACTCTTTTTCACTATGTCACCGTTATACTCTGTACATTAAACCTGCTATTCAAGAATATCTAACATCTACCATTGGTAGATAAATAAACACCTAAGACAGTTTACCCGTTCCTATTCGAGAGCCCGTCACATGGATGGTTTTAAACGGTTGATAAAACAACGGCTGGCTGGTTCAAACAGTATTAAACAAGTACGTTGAAAACCAGCTTGCCTGGTCGCCGATAATGTCACTCACCTTCAGCTGGGGCCATTATCGGCGTCCAGGCCCGTAGCCGGTTTTAAACGTGCTTATTAAAACCTATTTAATCCCTTATTTTCAGTATATCTCCTGCCTATGTTCAGAATACTACTTCCACTGTTTATCCGCTATTTGCAGCTCCTATCTCTGTCCACACTAAATGTTGCAACTGTGTGACATTCAGAAGGAATTTCCTGCTGTAAAATGTTTCCCTTATTTCCCTCTATATGCTTGTTAGCTCGGAAAGATCAAGATAACTTGAGCAATACATGTATTTAAGAAGTTATCAACGGTTTATCTTTAAGGGCAAAAAAAGGTCTCCGGTTTCTGGTATGGCGCCTGCCCCAAAAGTGGTGCGGCGACGCGGCTTTTTTTTTACCGTTTTTTCCCTTCAAATGTCGGCTGATGACTGCAAATGGTGCCCGACAAAACTTAGTGCAAATATATGGGAGTCCAGAGAGGCCACATAAAGCTTATTCTCGATCATATCCCCATCTAAAAACACGTTAAAATTGTGCAGCAGCAGGATTCCAGTCAAACCAGTGAGTTTGGCGGTTTTGAGACATCTTTCATTGGAAAAAAAATTTTCATTTTGCCGACGCGCATGGCTACGGCGACGCGTGCGCATACCAGAAGCTGGAGACTTTTTTTGGGGGGGGGGGGGCCTAAGATGTAACGTTTGTCACATGAACAGACAATGTTCTTTCCCAACCCATAATTCAAAGCAACATGACCAAAATGTAGTAATTGTTCTCAGCAAGATTTTATAGATTTTTGTTGAAATGTATTGTTGATTAAATGTCAATATTAGCCAGTATCATGTTTGTCACTACATGGACAGACACTGTGACAGCTGAATTAGCTTGAAAATTGAGCAAAATTTCTCATTTTTGAAATTTTTGCTGACCATAATTCAATATATCAAGTGTGTTTTTTCTGTGATAACACCTCTTTTATATAACCTGAAAAAAAAAATGTTTGCATGGTTATATGCATGTCCCACCAGGACCCCCTAAAATTTGTTGACATGTCATCAAATTTCTCATTTTTGAGTCAACCAACAACCAAATCCTTTGTGATTGTGTAAACTATCTCTCAACAATTGTACATTTAAAGTGTATTTCCTGAGTTTTAACATAATTTAAATGAGAGCTCATTGTGATGTTGTGCAGTTGTAAAATTTAGTGTGGACTCTCCCATTATTAGGAAAAAAACAGCAATATAGACATCCTAATTGAAATGAAACGTCCACCAAAGATTCCCCTCGCAAACCACCACAATTGATTGGCTTTTGATGTTTGTCCTTTTTTTTTTATAGGTGTGAGTGTTACGACTACCTATTTGAGATTGCGTGCGCCATGATTCAGCTGGGGATGGACCCCAGCACCAAGCCCCTGGAGCACTGATGGCGGCCTGATGGAAACCATCTGTTTCTCTCCGATGAATTACGCACAATCTACAGTACTCTAGGCTAAAACAATCAAAGGAAATCGGAAACGACGATGGGTGGCAATTGCAGTGTCCGAGCTTCATCTGAGGCATGCAATAACTCACCCTGAATCTTGATATCTATATTTTATATAAAAAAGTATTTTTTGTCCTTAGAAGAGACAGATATAAATTAAAAAGTACTTCCTTGAGAACGTAAGTGTCTTATTTCAAAGGAGGAAAACTAGGGACCGGAGAGTTTAGATTGAAAATCACTCTATTTGTAAATTAAAACACATTGAAAAAGAATGAGTTTAAAGGGAAAATACAACATTTGCAAACATCAAAAAATGAAATGATCAAATTATCACGAAATACCTTACTAAATTGTTAGGGACTGACAGTCTAAAGCATCCTTTAAAATCGTGGCTCCTGGTGAGTTGACATTTTCAAGAAAAACTGTATTTTTCCAACGCTGGTCGGCCGACCAGCGTTGGAGAAAACTGGCTTTTTCAAAAACTGTTCTTAATTTTTCATATTTAGTTATTCTGACTTTTCTTTGCAACTGATCACACACCTGTGAAGGGGTACAAGCCTGCTAGACTGATTATCTGACCTTACAATTCCCCAAAGTGTATTAATTGCTTCGTTTCATCTTAAGTGGGGTCAGGGAACCAGACTACAAGAACATGATAGGTTTTCTTGTTTTTTCCAGCATCTTCAAGCCCAAAACATGAAACAAGTCAGTTTAACAATATTTTATAAACATACTAATCCTCCAATCCATTTATTTCTGAAAATTGCAGCAAAAGCCAATGTTGTACATTCCCTTTAATGGAAACACAGTCAAAGTCTCTATTTGATGTTCGAATTTCGCACTAAATTATCTAGGCCCTATTACAAATAAGAGCTTTCCACTCATGTATAGTGAATTTCTGCTGTTTCTTAATATGAGAGTTCGTTATTATCTCCGCCAAGGAGGTTTTGTTTTCATCAGATTTGGTTAGTTTGTTGGTTGGTAGGTTTGTCTGTTAACAAGATAGCTCAAAAGTTATGGACGGATTTGCATGAAAACATTTTCTAGGGGTACAAGTACAAATCGATTAGATTTTGGAAGTGATCGGGATCTGTATCTGGGTCCAGGATATTTTAAAGGATTCGTCACCATTTATGCGAGTATTTCTTTTCGGTGTACTGATGACACTATGACGGAGAATTGTTTTGCCTTTGCGCAGATTTGCGCTCTCAGAATACTTTTAGCTAGTGAATTGTTATTGTTATAAAAGGGTAAAATAAAAAGGTAGATTTTCCAACAATGTCATACGATTTCAAACAAAATGTTGGTAATTTTTTTTCTGATTTGGTTGAACTTCACAATTGTTGTAGCGAATTTGTTCATTTGATGTTTGTTTCAATTTAATGGATATGAACGTGGTGAAAAAAAACGAACCAACCTTGGAATATGATAATCAACAAATTGCCTATATAATATTTTATTGTGTGCTTCTGGAGGCTTTCTTGCATTATTCATTTGTTTCATATATGTTATGGCTTTGATGCCGCTGGCATTGGGCCAGCTACAAATTGCCGGATTGTTTTTTAATATTTATTTTGCAGTATTGCATCCTTTGTGATTTTTGTTTTAATCCAAAGTATCGGCGATAAAATATAAATTTGATTTGTACATTGCAATAGTTAAGTAGGATGATATCTCTTGGGGAAATATACCCTATGCATTTTGCATACCTAGGGTTTTTGTTGTTCGATTTGTAACGAAATACTAAATAACAAAGTCTTCCAGAACCTATCTAGCCTTCTAAGTTGGATACTGTGCAGTAAGTATACTGCAGTTCATCATTTTTTTTGGCGATTTTCTGCACCGATTAATCAAGTTAAAGTATCAAATTACTTGTACGGTAGTAGGATTTTTTAGTAGGTTTAGTTTTGTAAGATTGTACATCAATTTATAGTTTTGGTGCTAATTATGAATACATTGAATACATTTACCTTTCGACCGAAACCGCATTTTTATCTTATCTCATTTCGTCGTGTGTTTTATTAGAGCCCAAAATGTAACTTCAGAATGTCTTTCTCTTTTAATACACTAATTAGGGGCAGCTCAAATTTTCTTTTACTTCAACAAAAAGCCACAAATTTATTATACACATACACTAATACATCACTCCTTTTTTATCAAAGTTTCGTTGAGATTTTCAATTTGGATAAAAACATGGGGAAGGATGTAGTATTCAGACGCCACTTCAGCGTGTACAGAGTCTATGGAGAGTCCGTATTTCCTAAGTATTTCTTAACAAAATTGGAAATGTTGCATGTTCGTGTCTTTTCAACATTTTTGCACTGCCTGACCGATATTAAGATGATACATGAAGAAAAACAAACGCGGCGTCAGGTTGCAGCGTTCTTTCTAAAACATATTTTTTTCCTAAGCATATTTTTATAAGATCATACTATCTTGCCAGAAATATTACCAACGAGGTTTCCATTTAGCTTCGTTGCAGTCAGTTGAACGTGTGTTGCCTCTTACTGCGATATGCTATATACAGTGTAGTACGAAAACCAACAAGAATGTGTTTGTGCTGAAACTTTTAATGGTTTGAATTCCCAATTTAACTTTGTTTTCGAAATACACAGGAGTGCATGTGCCTACATTTACGGTGTAAATCTATACTTACTGAAATTTGTATCCTTGTGGAGTCATTTCTTTGTTCTCGTGTTTTAAAGTTTTCGAGTTTGAAGGTGTACTTTGTAAATGCTCCAATTTTGATCCAGAATTAATTTCCCGGGATGAAATTCGGACTTAATATATCTTGCATACAATACTTCAATTCGCGACGAATCAACACACGTATACAATCTTTTGTTCCCTATTGTATACATGTCTCCAGAGGGTACCGTGTACCAGATCTGGAGGTGGGGGGGGGTTGAGGATGTACACACGCAAACATTTTAAACGGGTTGGGGTCATTGGATCATTGCTCCTCCTGGAATGAGCAAAGCTGAGACCAGACTAACACTGTATGTTTCCCCATAGTCTATATTTGTCAAGTTGCACGTGTTCGCGGGCAATGGTGTTACGTGATATTATTTTGATACCAAATCTCTTTGTCATTCCAGCAAGTTGATAGCTATTTGTTGTAGCTTAGCATGTATCATGTCACTTCGCAGGCGAGATAACCTCTAGCACTACACCCTCGAGCTACACGTATAAACACGAGGTTGCTGACTGAGAAGGCAGTGCCCGGCAAATTGGATCATCTAGCAAGAGTCTTCTCACTTATGCCTATAGCTTCGCGTTTCTGTAGTTGCAATGTGCATAAATAATGTTTTCTATTTCTTTCGTCCGCCATTTTGTTTTGTAACTCCGTCATTCTCTTTTTCCTGCGATCCTGGATTCTTATTATTGCAAGACATTGGATAACGTTCGTGCATGTTTGCCCTTCTTAATTACCTTTTTGTTTTACTATAATAGCCTATGTTCAATTTTCTATGTCAAAAATGAATTTTTGGCGGCAGTTTTGAAAAAAAAATGGCCGCCATGGAAACAGAGGGCTATTGCGGTGGCTCCACTTCTGAAAATATTATCTTGGTCATGGTCCGTTGCTAATCTGTTCTTAAATGCATGTTTGTACGAAAAAAAAAACCCCAAAACTTCTTTGCCATTTTGACTGATCACCAACCGATAATGTTTTAACAGGTTTTTGTTGCTTTGTGGTACGCATGGGTAGTTACTTCGAACTTTCATTGCCATTGAATTTAAATAAGAGGGAGCACCGTTCATACAGTTCCAAAATGAACCTGGGTTCCTACTTTAACAATAAGAAGTAGTGCTGAGCGAGTAACCCGAGTACCTGAGTACTCGCAAGTAGTTACTCGTTCTATTTGTGGCTTTGCATCTACTCGAGTACTCGTCCTGGCGTGGCACGGGTAGAAGTAGGTACTCACGAGTATCAATTTTGTTTTACAAGTGCTGACTTCAAAAAAGTAACCAATTTGCGGATTCTGTGCCAAAGTTGTGTTTTGACTTAGTGCCTCCCCCGAAATAAAGGAATCACTACCTCCATCTGTTTCCTTGGGATTCCACTATCTCTCTTAACAAATACATGTTCAAGTAAAATGAGCCAAAGTTTTGCATAGTAAGGATCATTGCTGAAGAATGTGTTGTGTTTTCCATGTTGTTTATTCGTACCTCTTTCTTAGTAATGTTAATGGCATATTTCTGTATTTATTGGAATTTAGTTAACCACTCACGACTACTCGCGAGTAATTTCTCCGCGAGTACTCGAGTAGGAAAATCCACTACTCGCCCAGGCCTAACAATAAGGCCTACATTGCTTTATCAACCTGTTTTTCAAACACTTTTAGAACGTGTTGGCCTATATTGAAATCAAAGGCCATGAAGTCACAGTGTCCAAGGCGTGCGAAGAAAACTTGTGCGAACGTCATTTGCCAAAACGGGAACATTTCCTAATCTTGAAAATTGGCAAACAAACGTCAATCATGAGCCGGCCATATGGTGCGATGCGGCTTGCGGCCGTTAGAATCTCAGGGGAATAATAAGGATCTGATTGAAAACGGGCAGAAAACTTGAAGACAGAACGTTACTCTGAATCGGTAGTAGAGATCGCGTGCAGTAGACCCACATGATCAATCCACGGACCCTCTAAATCATTGTAATTTTTGTACCCAATGCTTTTTTAAGTAATAAAAGAAAGTTTTAAAGGAAAACTCCATATTTTTTTCTGGATATGTCGTAACAGCGCCCTCTTATGTAGGTGGATCCATTGCTTGACAATACGTGACCATTGTCATCAAAACGACATTCATTTATATTCAATGCCAGACGTGTACGTGGAAAGTGACCTTTTAAGTTTATTATTAAGGAAAAACTAAAATGTTTTGTAAATATAGCTTGAACTTTCAATGTCGAGTGGCCTAGAGAGGGCGTTTTCGAGAATCTTAACCTCGTCCCCGGTGTAAATGGTATGTTAAATTGATAGATATTTCAGATGACGGGACTAAATGTGTTGTCCAACCAAGGATAAGCATGTGATATGCCTACTCAGTGATGTACACGTCCTTAGAATAATGTTCAAAATAAGAACATCATTATACAAAGAATTCTAATATAATAATACCGGCACTAATATAATAATGCTGGCACTAATATAATAATACGGGCTTTGGCTGAACATCATCGTCCTTGTAGTCCAATCATTGGACAATTTCCTGCTTTTTTCTCGATTTCAGGTCTCATTTCTTCACGTTTTCCCAATACACGTTTTCCCGATTGGGACTGAACAAAGTAATTGTGTCAATTCACAGACTATGGAAAA